CCACATGTTTTTCATTTGCCATTTCTAATTGGCTTTTTTCTCTTGCATTTTGGAAATTTCATCTCTTAACTATACATTTTTAGGAATAATTTTAAATACTGTTAATTTATATGACACATTCTCTTGTACTGTTTATTGACATAGAAAATCAGCTTAACAGATAAAGTATATCAAACAATATATTTACACAATAAGAATACTTCAAATATTACATCTTTCTGCTGCAATAACTACTGTAGTTTTGTAAAACTTGTAAATCAATATAACTAGAGGTTTCAGGTCAAGTATAAAACAATTCCATCATATGACACTGAACCATGTACTGGTATCTGCTTCCTCAAGGTTATATTTGCTGTATTACAGGTATGTATATTCAAAGTATTGGCCAAGTGGAGTCAGTCTAGATGCAGAGATGTTAACAATTGAAGATGATGTGGTATGGCATTCAGTTATTGCAATAGGTGTGTTTAAAGAGTTGTCTAATAACTGAAGGTTCGCTGTAATGTGAACTAAACAAGGTTGTTCTATTTACATTTAAATAAAGGAAAAGTACTTGGTGTAAACTGTAGTTAAATTTACCCAACGAGATGAAACCTGCATCTAAGAATTGCGAGCACAGCATTCCTACACTGCTTATAACATATAAATTTTTTTACAAAGATCTTTGCTTTGAAACCACATAGCTGTAAGAAATGGAGGACAAGCAATTAAATTTGCCTGGTACAGTAGTGAACATTCTATGGAAGTAAAGTGAAATGGTTACAATAATATTAAAGGATATTATCCCCTTTTGGAAACTTCATATATCCAAGTGATTGTTCTATAAGGTTAGGGATTGTTTGCATGAACAATTTTATCAAATAAATAAAATTGTTCATGTATACAGTTAAAATATCCCCGAGTCCAATCACCACTTTATTATTAGGGATCAAATTCTAAACATATGTTAAGGATTTTAGATGCCCAAATTGTGCATAAATAACTTCTGAAGTAGTTATTATAATTTCAATTTATTATTTAACACAATCACACGTACAATAAACTTTTTTTCAGTACAGTAGTAGAGTATAATCAATATGTTTTATTAACAGATGATTCAAGCTTGTACTCATCAATTTTTTTGAGGATACCAAAGGAACTTAGAAAATTTTGATTGACAAGTTATACATCACAAATTTTTATGAACAATATACATTCTACCAAAGTTAGGTTTCACCCCATTATTCAGCCTATCATTTGTCCATGTAACATGATGACCAGCCCAAGTTAACACAACAATTAATTTTTCTTCTTCACAAAGCAGGTAACTAACAACAAGAAGCACAGTCAAAACCAGTTACACAGTGAACCTCCATATAATCCGTTAGATGGAGATTTTCACATGTTACGGAGCCTCGATATAACGGACTTTCATTCTATATAATTCGTTAGATGAAGGTTTCACAGTACAGCAAACCCTCATTGTCCATGTGAGGTTGTGTCCCTAAAGGGGTTGTGTCATAGCAAAGCCATAAGTAACAGAAAAATAAGGATTACATTCCAGGAACCACAGACTATCCATAACTGCATATATTACCCCTAGCTACTGTATTGCAGCCCTTATAGAGCATCAGTTGTACACAAACACACAATATGAAAAATGTCACTAGTTTAAAAGTTTAATGATCTGCTGGACTTTTAACATCATAAGGACTTACATTGATGTTGTGTAAAGTAATGGTATAATAATAGGGTAGCTTAATGCCTTTTCAAGAAAGTTATTCTCCAGAACTGCCTTACCAAATTGTACTGTAGGATGTTACCCAACTTCCTTCTGAATCACCAAAAAATCACTGAATACGATATCATTAAACTCACAAAACAGATGAATTTACAGAAACTAATAGGAATTTTTGTGCCACTAAATACAGACTGGCTTGGTAAGAGGATCACTGTATTGGCACCAGGTCAGTACAAGCTTTATTTCAGGTTAATAACAGTATACCCTCATTAATGCTCGATATATAAGATGTGATTTGGTGTGAAGGCAGCCGAGGGCGAGTCTGTACACAATAAATTGCTATAATTTGGGTGTAGTAGGAAGGTGTGTGGTACTCCCTATACTGTTTAGCCATCATTACTTCCCATTAATCAGTGACAACCTAAACAATATTAATTCATGCACACTACATCATGGGAAGTATACAGCATAGTCTCTCTCTCTTTAGCACGCACGCACACAGTACAGTACAGGTTGACAATCCCATATCCGAAATCCTTGGGACCAGAGGCATTTCGGATTTCGGAATTTTTCGGTTTTCAGAATGATTCTTTTTTTAAGTGTATTAGTCCACCCTGGCATAGATCATGTTTCCCACTTTTGATCTTTTTTTCATTCTTGTATTTCTTTATTATTATTATTATTATTTTATTATTACAGTATTATTGTTATTATTATTAATTTTATTGTTATATTTATTATTATTGTTATCATTATTATTTTATTTTGGCATATTTTTATAAACAATTTTATTTACTATGAATACTTATTATTACCATTACATTTTCGCCCTCCAGGCCCTGATATGGGTCAGTGATCTATGCCCGGGTGGGCTAATCCCTGTTTAAAAAAAAAAAAAAAATTGCCCCACAAAAAAACTTTCGGTTTTCGGAATTTCGGATAAAGGGTTGTCAACCTGTACTTTTATACAAATATTCTTACATGCATATTTACACATACACATACTTATACACACCTTCACACACAATGTGCATAATAGTATAAACAAATACTGCTAACATACATACCCCAATACAGTGTACACAGAAATCCATAGGGTAAACAAACAGACATAAACAACAGTTTTACAGATGTATACACAACATTCTTACAATCATATTCAAACACACTATAATTACTTTCAGGAATCCAATTACAACCTATGATACACTAAGTCATATAACTAAAGAGAATAAAATTATACAGTACAGTACTCTACACACACACATACTTTTGATCAAATGTACTGTACTCCTAAACATACACAGTCCTATAAACCAAACACTCATATATACAAACACAGTTAATCACACCAAGTCATACACTTAAATCAACCCCATGCTCTAGGTACATTATCACTTGGTTTAAAGGTGGACGGGACTCCCATCAACAGTGTGACCAAGGCCTGCTTTTGTCCATTTTTTCTATTGTGTGAGACTGCTACGCACCACCATCTTTACTTAGTGGGTTAAATGTACTGGAAGTTTTTTTTTATAATCTCACACAAAAATCAACTTTACTTAACACCAAAAGGCCCCCCCCAAGAGCTTACATTATAGCTGAACCATCCAATACTTCCAGCTACAGTATTTGTCATTGTGCTTAACTAACTGGTTCTCTCATGTGTATCAGTGTTTATAATGAATGAATATTGTTTAATTATTGTAATATTGATGCTATAAGGGGCTGTATCAATGAACTGGGGGTAAAATTGAACCCCTTTAGGGACTCAATCATATGTCCTCTGTTAATACAAAATGTGCTTATGGGTCCCAACTTCACATTTAAGTCGTATCGCCATACCTTTGTCTATGTTAAATCAGCTACAACTGAGAAAATTAGTGTGGCAACCAAAATGAAATTTCTGTACATAAAAAAAGTGTCATTTGACTCAAGTGAATGAACAAAGGCGTCAACTTAGTTCGTATATTCTTCTCTTGTCAAATGTTATATCTCGGCATGTTCAATATAACCCAACCAGATTTATTATACTGTACTGTACTATGTATTTATTTATTTTGAACGAACTTCTTGTACTGGGAATACAATTCAGTGATGTTCATGCCAAACAGAGACGCCTGGGCATTACTTCCTCTAGCGCCAGGATACTCGGATGAGGTTAGACCTGTGTGAAAAAAAAGAAGAATATCCAATGTTTATTTTTCAATTTGATGTTAATCTTGGTGTAATGAGTCATGTACTGATGAGGGTTTACCACGGAGTACAGTACAGTAGTCCTAACATACAAACAGTGACATGAACAGTGTACAAAACTGAATTATGACAAAATATTGATTCTTTTGCGCACAATAAACGGGTATTATAGAGCCTCATTATAGACTCAGTCTGAAGTAATTATCAATTTCAATAGAATTTATATAGATACTGTATAATTATCATCTTGCAATACAAGGAGCAACTGTACCACACACAGAAAATTTTGATAAATAAAAAATAAATAAATATAAATACAGTACTACAGATATTTATAAAAATAGACTGATTAAAAAAAAATTAATCTACATTTTCATCCATCCATCCATCTCTCTCTCACTCTCTATTTTCTAATTCATTCCTTAGTTCCTTCAAGCTTTTTTTTAGTCTTTTTGCTTTTTATTCTAAACATTATCATTTTCATAAGCTCTTTTAAGTATAATACATTCTGTTTCCATTATACTGTATCTGAAACATCTAGTTGTCCTACCCTTGTTTCACCTACAAAACATAACAAAATACACAAATTACAAATTGGCTTCACTATTTCACTTTGTACATGAATTGCTGAAGTATGACCTATACTAGTTACTGTACAATCAAAGTTACACTAATTCCAAGTAGTATCCAAAAGTAAAGAGCCAGTGCATTTATTCTTTCCCTGCCAAATGTCGAGGTACAGTACATGTTTATAAAGAAGTGGTGTAATGCATGGCTTGAAAGGCTTAAAGTAAAGACAAGTTCAGTGAAATTACATCGAGGACTGGCCTGTATGTAACAGAGCATAAATACAACTACGAATGCAAAAGAAATAAAAAATAAAAAAGCATAACCAATTTTTTCTGATGTTTCTCAAGAAAACATCTCATATATATATATATATATATATATATATATATATATATATATATATATATATATATATATATATATATATATATATATATATATATATATATATATATATATATATATATATATATATATAAATATATATATATATATATATTTATATATTTATATTTTTTTTACAGTGTATGATAGCTTTAAGGATTATAAACATCTTCATTGTGTTGGACAAGAACTACCATCAAGGTACCTTTAAGATCACTTTTAAATCCTATATCAGGTTATTATTCTACCATAAAACCGATTTACAAATATGGAGAGTTCACATATGCCCTACTACAGGTGTAATGTTGTTGATATAAAATTCTTTCACATGATTCCTTGTTTAAACTACTGTACATTAATGAGCTCCTATGAGACCAATTCAAAATGGCAACAAATAATAATGATGGTATTTGGCACAGCAATATTTCAACTATGGAGTGCAGTCAGTCTTAAACAAGCTGAAAGCATTCTCACAAAAACCATCACTGTTAAACTGTTTCTCAAGGCTACCATAATAACTGGGCTGAAACCCTTATGACTAATTAGGACCAAATACATCATACCACAAAAATTTATTACTGTACCATGATTACCATCACATGGATATAACTAGAAAAGTATTCAAATTCATTGTAAACCCAAGCACATGACACTATGCCACATGTGCACTCGTAGTTGTAGGTAATAATGTTCTCCTATCTACCAGTGCTCTCAGTTTCAATTTTCAGGTACTGTGCTTTAAACATTTCTGCCACAGTAATACTCTTCAAATTAAAGTAAGAGCATCGTAAGAATAGAGGTAACAATAAGAAAAAATATATATTGTAATTCTAAAAAAAATTACAAAAAATGCAAAGATTTAAGACTGGAGAAACAACTATGAGTAATGTCAGATTAATAACTAATTAGAACCTTCAGAGAGAAGTACAGTACTCTAGCTGTTCACACTGTACACTGTATACTTGAAACTGAAAATGTATGTTGTAATACAATTATTATCAGTCATTGTTGTCATTGTTCTCATTGTTTTCAATTTCATTATCACTACTAGAATCACTACTTGAAGACGAGGAGGAGGAATCACTTGACGAAGAAGAGGAGGAGGACGATGAAGATGATGATGATGACGAGCGGTGTCGCTGGCTAGGTGGCTTGGGTGCTGGTTGAGAATCTGTCTCGTAGGTGCTATAATATTCATATAGATCAGCGTGTGGTTGCTGCTTGTGAACTGTCTTGAGAGTAGTAGTGCACTCTGGACAATACCAGTTGCCCTCTGGAGCAGCCATAATACCAACACATTCAAAATGGAACCACTGATAGCGACAGGAAGGATTGTCACAGCCAATCATGTCGGACACTTCATCATACGGACACTGACAAATGCAGTACAGGGTTTCGTCTGCCTCCAAGCCGCCTCCGCCATCACGTGGACCCTTCTTGGATACTTTCTTCCGTTTCTTAGGAGGAGGTTTACCACTGGCGTTGTTCATGGATTTCTTCCTTTTATTTCCCGAATTAGACGGCTGTGTGGGAGTACTTGCAGTAACACGTGTGGCAGGCATATATATACTACAAGAGTTTTCGGGAACTTTGTGTACACGATGTCTAGCTGGGTGTACATTATCCAGGTGGTACTGTAAAGCCTCCAAAGAATGCCATGGGGAAGCGCCATCACAGTAAGGACAGTCATAACTTAATGTCTGACTTTTAGTAGCTTTGTGTACCATAAAGAAATGCAGACTAAGCACGGTCCATGATTCAAAAGCCTTGTAACAAAAGTTACACATGTATGCATCATTTACTCTTACATGATCAAACATTGTATGAGTGTCACTAAGATGCACAACCAAGTCTACGATCTTGTTAAGGCGCGGGCGGGCTTCACACACGCGACACACAATCTCTCCACCAACATTGAGTGCTCTTTGGGCTTTATGGGCATAATAGAGATGGAAATAATACGCTCCATCCTCACGAAACACTAGGCCACACAAACAACGAAATGTTCCATTGGGTAGCATGGCACGTTGGTGAAAAGCTAAATGATGGTCATTGATATCATCTGCGGTGGTAAATGAATGATCACAAAAAGCACAGTCTGTGAGCCCCAAGTTTAATACAAGCTGAGGGTGAACCAGGTACATATGGAGCAACTTCCCAGCTGGGTTACTCCACGTCAAGTGGCACGGTCCACATCGCATTCCAACGGCACGGTCTACCATCTGCAACATGTCTTCTCGCACAACGGGCGCCACTGTATTTTCGTCAACTGTTCCGCCAATAGCCCCCACTACACCACTGGAGCCATCGACCAATTTTTTTCTTTTCTGTTCAGCGTGCTTCCCTTGAATGTCCAGATGATGACTCTGTAATTCATCATGCCGGTAAGTTTCCTCGTTAACCACTTCCACCGTTTCCAATGTTTTTTGTTTATTAGTTGCTTGTTTTCCATGTGCAGTTTTTTTGTGATGAACTGTCTGAGCCTTTTCGGTATCTGAATCTGAGGTGTCTAAGTCTGACTCTGTCATTGCTATCATAACGAGCCTTGTTTGGAATTCTTCCTCGGCTACTTTGTCATCGTCGTCTAACTTTCCGGGTTGACAGGTATCTACCGCCACTTCCTCGGATCCCTCGACCTCCGAGATATCAGAATCTGACTCACTATCTACGTTGTTTTTGCCTTTGACCGGTTTATCCACCGAGGTTCTATGCTTTCGGCTTTTGTATTTACCCAGGTCCTCACTTGAGTCAGATTGGTAATTTGTTGATTGACTAGGGTGATCAGCAGCCACGTGCTTTGCCAAGAGATTTCTTGACACGTAAGCTTGTGTACAATGCTGACATTTATGAGGTCGTTCTCCGGTGTGGATACGTGTGTGTACTCTCAACCTTGTGCGAGTACCAAAACGATCTCCACAATGATCACACTTGTGTATCAATTGCTTCTTATGTATATGAAGCACATGTTGAGTTAATGACACCTCAGATGTAAAGCATTTACCACAGTGGGGGCACGTTTGAGGGTTGTGTTTCCACTCTTTGTGTTTGACTAGATGGTGGTCACGCACAAACTTTTCTCCACAAACTTCACACTCAAACTTTTTTTCAAGTTTACACAAGTTATAATGTAGTTGTCGCGACTTTTCTTGTTTAAAGCGTTTACCACACTTAAAACAAGGAAAAGTGTAACCAACAGATGGAGAAGATCGAGCTTCAAGCACCACCATTGTCTTCTGGCTTCCATCTTGTGCAGATAAAACAAAAGGACGCGCTTCACTCGGCAGATGAGACAAATGAAACGAGTGGACCAAGAATGCATAGAGACTCCCCTGAAAAGCTCCACAAGTACAGGTAACCAGCGCATGAGGATGAGCTTCATTGACGTGTAACAGAAGACGGGGCAGGAGAACACTCACGCCACAGCCAACGCATTGACCGGTGAACTTGTCACTAAGATCACGCAAGATGTTCTCTCCCATTGAAGTCTCATCAATATCAGCATTCTCTCCCAAGCCTTTTGGTACAGCCTTTGGTTCTCCTCGTCTCCCCTGCTTCTCCCTTGTATTAGTCTTCTTCTTCACAATAACTTCAACCTCTGGAGCAGCAGCAGCAGCTTGATGGGGTTCTTTCTCCAATGCTGACTTGGACTTGGTCTGTCCTGTTGGTGTTGATTTATTTGTCTCTTCCCCTTTTTGGTGTAACTCTTCAGTTAAAACTTCAGCCATGTTCTGAATGGTTTGACCTTCTACGCTGTTAACGAAACCAAATGTGGGTTGTCTTCCTTCAGATTGTGACTTACCTGAATTTTCTTGTTTGTCAGGTTTATTAAGTTCTTTTGGTGGTGAAGGTTTAGAACATGAGACAGGTATGGTGTTAGACTCTTTAGCTTCTTTGGGTGAAGCTGCTTCTACAACAGCAGGTATTTGAAATGGAACAGACTCAACATGGTTACCACTTGGAATAGATAAAGTTGAGCCAGGACTGGGTGGACATGATCCTCGCGGTGAGTTTGGTGAAGCTGCTGCCGTGTCAATCTGTAGTGGTGGTTCACTCCCACTGTCATCATCATCATCATCATTATTATTATTATTATTATTATTTTTATCATTATCATCATCTTTTTGCTCCTCTTCATTGTCCTCTTCCCTTTCATTTTCCCCATAAACTGTAACTGCAGAAGCCAATGTACTGCTAACATCAGCCTTCCTAGTCTCGGCCTTTCTATCAGAAGAAGCACGTAGTTTATCAACATCCATCTGTCTCTCTATAACCTTCTCTTTCTTCATAGTGATATTTTTGTCAACAGTGGATGTTAAGTCAGTGGTGGGTGGAGTCAATTTGTGTGGAGACATAGACACAGTACATAAAGATCCACACCAGCCAGGGACGACATCATCCTCACTCTCAGCGGTCTCCTCTCTCTCCTCTCCTCTTACCTGCTCTACTGAACCTTCTTGGATGTGTTCCTGAGGAGCTTCTGTCAACATGTTAACACATATTAAGGGATCACACTGAGCTACAACAGTACCACTTGAACTAGTGCCTACAAGTATAACACATCCATCCTCTTCATCTACTACTTTAGGATGCTGCATTTTGTACTTTTCTCTTAGCTGTTGTTTGTGTTTAAGGCGTGCCCACACTGCATCCCAAGATCTTAGGTCATGACAGGTGGTGCGGTGGTGTTGAAGCGATGTAATTGTAATGGCGTTGACCGGGCAGGCTAAGCAAGCAAGGGTGTGTGATAATAACTGGTGACAAAATAATGCCAGGCGATCCTTGAATACTCTGGTCATGTTGCACTTAGAACAGCGACTGGGTAGTTTAACGTACTTGAGGTTTGGCTTTATTGTTTGGCGATGTTTGGGGGATTCCATAAGATGATCGTAAAGACCAGAGGCTTGAGGAGTGTAGAAATTACAAGACTGAGCAGGACAATGCCAAGGTGGACCAGCTTGAGACCGATGAAGCCCCAGACGACAGTGTGGACACAGAGGAGCCGGACTTGAGTCTGCATACCTTAATGTTAGAGTATTTGAGCATCCACAAAGCACACATGATGAGAATACTTTTACAGTAGTGGAAGGACTCAGATGATGACCGGCACCAACTAATGTAAACAAATCTCCAGTGTGACTGTGCCACACCATATTTAATGAGTGAGTGTCTGAAGCAGAGAGCAGTCCTCCCCGTCCTCCACGGATCCACTGAATAATCATACTTATATCGTCTAAGCTCAAATCCTCGTGACTGGGAAGATGACATGCATTAATGTGGGTTGCCAAATGTATAGCTGTAGGTGCCACTGTCTGCCCAGGTTTGGACTGCTCATCAGATTCAGAATCACAGTGTTGTGTGACACAAGCAGGGAAAGGGCAAGGATACACATGATATGCCCAAGAGTGTACTACCCAAGACAGGATATTTTGCCCAATCAGAGTGGTGGAGCAAAAAGTACATGTAAAACGTGGAACATTTTTTTTAACATACCTATGACTAAATACATGAGGAAGAAGAGAGTTTACCCACTCTCCACAAAGTACACACCAGCCTCCTCCTAGCTGACTTCTGTGATTTACAATGAGGTGAGCAGTTAACTGATCCTGGTTATCTGGTTGTGGAAAACCACAAAGAAACCAGCACGATAGACTGTCACTTACCATATCCCAGCAACTTCCGCACAACCCACGAGATTCGTCTAACTGTGGACTCACAATAAATGCTAAAGAACGTTTACATATGAGACAACATGCAAAAGAACTATTATTGTGTAATCCAAGAGTCAGTATCGAGGCCAAGGAAGATCGGTCGACCGGCGGCAGAACGAGAAGAAGACGCAGTAGCAGCCACCAACCGTGCAGTAGAGTGTCACTCAAGAGATGAACATTGACAAGGTGATTAGCTAGTATCTTTGGGAAGGTATGTGGAGCACACAACATCAAAAAGTGCTGAGGGTTTTGATTTCCAGAAAGGGTGGAGCAACACTGGTGACACGTCCATGACAACCCCTTGCCCGTCCACCACACGGTCGCTTGGGGGGATGGAAAGCCCAAAGTCAATACACTCGACACTTGCCCATGTACCAATAGCTCATGCAGCTGTCGAGTGGGCTGTCCTAACAGGCAAAGACACATTCGACACGGCTGAGGGGTATTAGACATTGACCCGGCTAATGTGCAAGACATGACATCAAGCGACATATCCTCCAGCATCCGTTTAACAAGAAGTTCGTGGTGTTCCCATAGATGAGAATGATAGCGTACAGCTCCAATACTCTTTTCACATTGGCCTTCATTAAACACACACTCGTATATTCGTTTATGACCAACGCGCCGATGCTGATATCTTTCTGCAGCAGTCTCAAACACCAACTGACATTCATGACATGTTTTCCTATTGTCCGTGGCAACGCGTCTCGTACCAGTTTTTTCTTTATCGCACAGTTGAACACAATTACTGTCACCGCTCAGTGTAATTAGATCTGAGCATTCGGGCTTTATAAGATGGTCATTATTGTCGTGTAGGCCGACGGAAACAAAACCCTCAAATGCTTCTTCGACGTTAACGTCATCTCCGAGATGTTCCTCCACCCATCTCTTGTCTGTTAGGTTACTATGAAAACCCTCGAAATTGCATACGAGAGATTTTTCTTCATCTGCCAGTCCAAACAGTTGCTCGAACTCCCTCTGAGATATAACAGTCTTTATTGCTGCTCTTTTCTCATTTATTTCTTTTTCTACATAATATTTCAAACTCTCCTCATTATTCTTCATTATTTCTTTTTCACCTCCAAGTACATGTGGTTCTTCTTTCTGTATCACACTGATGTCACCTTCACTGTCACCATCGTCTTTATGATTTTCATAGTTCTCCGAGTTCCCTGCCAACGGAACCCTTGAGTCTTCTTTCTTAGCGGGACAGCCGACTTTGTTCAATTTATTATCATCCGCGGTCTCAATAGTTTGGTTATCTGTGGCTTCAAAAACGACCCGACTTTCACCCATGTTATTGCTATCAACAGCCACATCCATTTCTTCAACCGGAGATTTTTCCTTAAGCATACATTCTGACTTCACACTATTCTGCTTTTCATTCTTTGTCAGTGTGTGCATCAAATGCTCTTCATCACTGGACTCACCGGGACTCTTATGAGAATGAATGGAAGTCTCTGAATCTTTCTTTTGTGTACGAGAAGACTTCCCTTCCCTTTTTAAACGCTTTTCTGTTACACTGGAATCCTCGGAAACATTTTTTATTGACTTGCTCTTGTTGCTATTCTGTCTTGATATTTGAATGTCACAGGAAGAGTCTTGCCTATCAGTTTCATCACTTTTTAACATCACTGATACATGATCTTTTCTAAGGAGGGATATTTTGGGGACGTTTTGACCCACACTATCCATTAAAACATTATTTTGAAAACATTCTTTTGAATCATTTTTTTCACCTCTGCAATTCTTCACAGAAACACCCATGTCTTCTTTTAAATGACACTTCAATGTTTCATTACTCTCATTCATTGAGTCTTGTAACACATCACAAGTGGTATACTCCGGTGTTCCCTTCCCCTTAGTAACTGAACTGCTGTCAAATACACTGTCTAACACTGTATCATCACTACCCTGCTCACTAGACACTGATGATGCCTTCTGACTTGTTCTTTTTTCCCTTTCATTTTTAATATGTAAGCTTCTAGATGCTTTAAGAGTTTTACCAGTTTTGGGAGAACAAAAAGAAGACAATTCCTCTCTTTCTTGCCCTAGAGACAAGTCAGAGATGCTACAACTATCATTTTTATTCTGAAAACCTTCAAGTGAATGATCTTCTGCCTCCATCAGTTGGACCTCGTTACATGTACCAACAACCTCAAAATTACCATCTGATGGAGCATTAAGTTTCCCTTTCAAGTGAGATTTTAACTTTCTTTTTTCCATATCTTTAGTAACTGTTGTTCTGGCTAAGTCAAAACTGTCATTTTCAACTATGTCACTGCCACTATCACCATCAGTTTTCATGTCAATAACAGACTGTGTAACACAGTGTGATGCAGGTATCTCCTGCCTTGTACTTTCTAAACTTTGTACTTCAGTTTCACTTTCAGAAGGACCGAATATGTTTGTTGGTTTATTTTCTCCACTACTGGGTACTATACTTTCTGGGCTACCTATGTCCTGCTGACCATTTTCAAGATGTGTATGATTATCACTGTCATCTTCATTAAATATGGGAGACACTTGAGCATCACTATTGTCAACATCTTCCATCTGATCTCTACACACCAACTCATTTAGCCTAGTATTCTCTTTGTCACTATCAGCTTCTGGATTACTGGTAGAAGGTTCAGGTGGAATTGGTTCTTCAGGTACCCTTTGTTGACCTTCAGAAAAGTCCAGCCTCCGATTGGTATTAACTGCTTCATCTGTGGACTTTCGTTCACCATGCTTGCCCTCCAATCCTTTGTAACTTTTATCACTGACAGAACCGGTTGTCTTGGAGACTTCTTGTTTCTCGCGACGTTCGTTCGCTTTGAGGGATTTGACAATGATCTCCCAATCGTGCATAATATCTGGCAATGGTGCTGTGCGAGACCTCTTTGTTTCAGCAGAGTTGTCTTCTTCATCCCCAGATCCTCCTGATATTGATGGATATAAAAGTTTTCTGGGTTGACCTCCCTCCTGATAAGGTGATCTTCCATCTCGTGCACTACGGCCAGTGTGATGAACCTTTCCACTGGCATGTCTCGACTTCCTGGGTCTTTCAGATCTCGCAGCCTGAGTGTCATGCAGGGTGTTGCCAGATGTGCGCCCTGGTGTTGCTAGAGAAGACAACCTCGCAGGAGCGTCTGGAGAAGGTACCTGACATTGGCCCGACTCGGATACGCTACGTGTTCGTCCAGTACGTCGAGCAGCGGGGGACCTGAGAAGATACAAACACATCTAACCATGTCTCATGTAATATTGCATCATGATTATAAAAACATGTGGGATAATGAAGGTAACAAGAGAGGATACAGATACAGTACAAAAAAATACATGTTAACACAGACCAAAATAATGTAAAATTATTCAGGTTACCATAATTCAACAGACCTTCGGGGTACTTCATACAACATATTTCCTTCCTTGATTTTTTCATCTTACTGTAAAGGTATATTCTTTGTTTTCTATGTGAAGGAATAAAATAACCAAGATGGTCACATGGGAGTAAAGGCAAAGGAGTTGAAAAAAAACAATGTGAACAGTACAAGTAAAGACAAAAGTAAGGGAATGATGGGACAAGAGGTTGGTAGATATTTGGAAAATAAAGAAAGAAAAAAAATTAACCCCCCTAACATAGATCCTGAGTCAGTGAGTCAAGAAGTACCGTTACCTTTCTACGAAATTTCAAAAGAATCTAAAATTTGACCATATGCTCAAAAACCAGGTTAAGGGGTCACTAGTTTTATTTAGCAAAGACACTAATTTGCTGGAAACTGAAAATCAATGTGTTTAATTGGTAGTCAGTTCCATTCTTGATAACACATTATTTAAAACTTACTTGCATAGAGTAATCTGCATTTTTAATATTCTAAATATGTTTAATTATTTCAAGGGTCATTAATTAAATCTAAGTACAATTGAAATATTAAATTCTGAACACAGATCCTTAACTCCCTCACTAAAAGGGTGCCACTTTTCATATTCCATTTGGTTAAAGCCTGGTAATTGTATGGAGCACAGAGGGACCCCTGTACTCAAGAGGTTAACCAGCATGTCTAGGAGTACAGAAACTCTTCATTAAATTTGAATAAATTCTAAATATTGACCACATGTGCTGAAGCATATGATACAGTAATAGAGTAATGGCTTGTTGGAAGAAAAGCACAAGGTCTGTAGAGAGAATTCAGAAGACAAGAGATGAGAGATACAGAGAACAGTTCTCACAGGATGTTAAAGAAGGACAGTGCATGAAGAGTGTGTCTCTGAGTGTTTACTTTTGGTTCCACCCAACCAGCATTACAATAGCAAAATGCCTGAATAAAAAAAGAAAGCATTTAAAAATCAACGTAACATACTTTGATCGATCTGATACAGTGAAACCTTCATATAACAGACATTTATCTCCATATAATCCATTAGATGGAGGGTTTCACATTTAAAGGAGCCTTGATATAAAGGACTTTCATATCTATATAGTTTGTTAAATTGAGGTTTCACATCTAAAGGAGCCTCGATATAAAGGACTTTCATCTCTATGTAGTTTGTTAGATGAAGGTTTCACTGTACTCTGAAAGTCTGAACTTTAACCAGTCTGGTGTATTTTCATAAAGGTGTCATTAACCAGTTAAAGGTTTCTTTGGATCCTTCCTACAATATTATCAAGTAGCCAGCCTGAACCAACAACAAACACAGAGTTCATATTTATTTGCTGTCAATCATTCATTCTTATCGCTGTAACATCTCCACAAACCTCTCAACACTACCATTTAAATACTATACTATTTCCTAGACGTTCTTTCCCCTCATTGCTAGTACAAGTATAGTACAGTACAATACAGTGTGCCTAATATTTCACTTTCCCATCTCTTCCACTGTCTTCCTCCTATTGTCCACATTTCTGAATTATACCTGCAACATAAAAAATGCAATCCCACCATGGTGCATGCCTGGGATAGAGCCCTTAAGCTGCCTTTAGTGTAGGTATTTACCCATATACTTGTACAGAAGTTCAAATTTGGTGAAAGGGACAAAACCCATTGTCCTCAACAAAACAACTCAAGTTGAGGACCAATCATTATGAGATCCTCACAAAAGGAATCACCCACATCCCATTCCACAAGGAATTTGTCTTCTATTTAAAGCCTGGGCTTCCCTGGGTCCCAAAATCATTCTTGATGAAGATGATTTTATAATTACTGTACCTCCAGCAGCTACCAATAACACAAAACAGTTATCTCACCCTTAAAGACTGGCATCAGGTTGCCACTTACTTCCCTTGCTGGGGGATAATATGAGGACAATATAAAAACTGAGGACATTAGATATATTGCCCCTAGCTCTGTGTGTGTGATGTATATTTAACACGTTGAATGTACTTGAAGTCCTATTAGTTTTATCTTGAATTATACAGTAATTAGTAATTTGTTAAGGAGCCTCAGATTATAAAACTGAATTCCTTGTAAGGGAGTGTAATAATTCAACTGAACAATAATTACTAGGTTGGGTCACTAGAATTTCAATGTAAATAAGACAAGTGTAATAACTAGTCATGAAAAGGCTCAGGAATGAGAAAATTCTACTGAATAAAAGAATGTGGTGTAGGTGCACCTCAGTGAAACATACACACCAAAAAACTCTCATTTCTAGTTCAACTTCTAAGGAATTACTTAAAAATAAAAATCCTGGTATACTGATCTTAATATATACTAGTAACCTACAAAACAAAGTAAACCTGCAAGATGCCACGAAAAAAATATATAACTTTGCAAGAATTAAAAAAAAGTGACAAGTGAAAAAGATATCCAAATGGTATGACAGAACAGACTACAGTATATATCATAAAATACAGCGGATACAGTATGCTGCCTAACACAGCACTGTACAGTACGTCCTACATCAACACATGGAGGATGTATCAAAGAAACTGTCCACTTAATAAAGGGGGAAAGGAATAATGCTGACCAAGAAGGAAAATATTAAACTAAATACAAGATGAATAGAAAAAGTAATTAATCACAAAATAATGAATCAAGAGTACTTTAAGAGCTGGTTTCACACACACACATTCAAGATGTAACCTATGAATGGTGTAGAGCCTCCAAAAACAACAACAAAATATGAGCCAGTGACTCTGTAGTCATTAAAGACCTTTTTTTTGAGGATGCCAACTTGCAAATTTGTTCTGCTTATTTATCACTCCCATACTACAGTAGTGAAAAACAATGAGAAATATAAAAAAATCATCTCTTTTTCATGACTCCTCCATATGCATACTTCAGGTACAAAGTGCTTTCATTTATTTATTCATAATATACACCTGTACAAAATTACTCTAAAACTGTACTATAGTTTATACTAATCCCGTTATATGCATACTTCAGATACCAATGGCCTTCATCACTGAAATTTTCTGAAAAATTCATCAAACAGTTCTTCATATTTGACCTTCAAAAAATATTCTCAAGTATCCAAAAAATGGGTAATCACCGATATATATACGAAGTTCGCCTCTTGACATAAAACTTAACCAAGGATGTGGACGCGGACAGAAATGCCGGCACGGATGGAGCTGCTCAGGGTAGTTCTCCCTCTATTTCACTCACTGAGCTCAACTAAAAATGATTCAAGCCAATAATCCCTTCATGAGCTTACTTCAGGTACCAATGGCCTTCATTCCTGAAAATTTCAGAAAAATTCATCAACCACCTTTTTCAGATTTGGCTCTTTACTTCACTCTTACTACTACTACTACTATTATTACTATTACTACTATTATTACTATTACTACTGTACTACTACTACGAATGCCAACAGTTCACAAGAGACGATTCTGAGAACTAAAACTGTGGGAGTTAACCAGAAGGTAGGGTACTGGCCACCAAGATTATGCTGGGCTTGAATGGTTGGCCTGATACTGGGTAATAATACATAAGGCAAGATCTTATGACATCCCTGTACCTTATGTCATCATATTTACAGAAAATTAAGGACACACCACTTAATCGGTATCGGCCTGCAGATAGTATAGGTATTTTGCCGATTAATCGGTATCAGTAAGCTAAGTACTGTATCCACAAGTACAGTACCATATCTTTCTGTTGTTTTTCTTGGGATAATATGTACCAGTACCTTACTAACTTAAATTGTTATATCGCTAGATATTTATTCATATACTGTACTATATTCTTGTTAATTAAATGTTCAGATATTACGCTCACTTAAGACCGGTGAAATACAACAATTACCATAACAAATGACAGCCAATTGAATCCAGAAATATATAGTACAGTATACTGCCACCTGATGAGAGGCACCTTAGTAAACCAAACCAAACCTTCAATTCTCCCATCATATATCCACAACACAGGTACTACTGTATGTTCTGTACTGTACCAAGGTTATGTACCGTACTGTAGTTTTTGCTGCTATCTTTAGTTAAAGTAATGTACATGATGCATTAACCAAATATTGTACAGTATAAGTTAAGGAGATGTCAATTTCCCACAGAAACCCAAGTACCAGAGTCGACGATCACATTTAGCGGAGTTTCCCTCATCGAGGTTTTGGAGAATTTCCTCACCAAGAATTGTTGTGCAAAATTTAAAAATCGCTCAATCAACTGTATTTCAATGCAATTCCGTATATGGGGTACAGGATTGCAGCACAAAACCATGCATTAAAAAAAAATAATAATAATAATAATAACTCCTCCGACACTACTGAACTTTTTCTCACTTCAAAACTAATTCCATTACAGGTATTTCAAAACACTTGAGTTTGAGCAACTGCATCCTGGACTACAGTTGTTCAGACTCAAAGTGACTGATGGAGCAAAGGAACTACTGTAGCTAAATTTTGCTGTTTATTTGTGGTGTTGTGAGGGAACAGCATAGGTGGTGGCCTGTGCTAACATATGAACCACCCACTCATGCTGCCATCTACTGAGGGTGGGAGGACTATGCTTACATCAGTTGATCACTTTTATTTTTATTAAGCCATTAAAAACATATTTAAAGAAGCTAAAAGTACTGAAAATTCTCAGACTTAAATTCTATAAGAATAAGAATTCTGACTCCTTGTTATAGCCCGCCAGAGAATTTTGTTACAGTAAGGGTTATGAACTTATTAGTACTGTATACAGTGAACAAGCATACATAAGAACATAAGAATGGAGAAAACTACAGCGGGCCCATTGATCCATACTGAGCAGTCCCGTTTACACCCCTATCGTTCATATATCCATCTAACCTGTTTGAAGCTATCCAGTGTATTTGAGTTAATGATGATGTTTGGTAACTTGTTCCGCTACTCTATTTCCCTCAATGTTTACCTATCTCGCACCTAAATCTAAATTTGTCTAATTTAAAACAATTGCTACGAGAAATGTCGTCAAGTACGGAGAAGACAAAAGAAACTTTAGCTTAGATGTGAAAATGAAACACTTTTTGTAAAGCGGGAAACAAGCTTTGAATATCATTAGACACATTTGCTCAAGTTTAATATAATTTCTGACTTTTTCATATTTTTGTCTGATTGGAGTTTTTTTGCTCTCCCCCTCATCCAATTTTCTTCCCCAAATCCCCACTAACAGTTAATCTCAACACGTCTCGACATTCCACACTATTTCTGACAGTTTTATAGTTTTGCAACCAATTTTTATTTCTATCATGGCTGAGTTCTGGGCTGAAAGCATGCAAAACTGAACTTGGCCACTCTAAATAAAAAAATAAATACAATATAGGGTGGCAAGCTGCAATGAAAGTGTTATATTGAATAGTATTAAATCAGGAGTCCAGTTTACAAGACGATTATACAAAGCAGATGAAAAGTAACACATTGATCACTGTGTTCCTTGTGGCTTAAATGGGAAGTGGCTGCTGATGGCGAGACTTGTCCATGCAGTATAGGGTACGGTGAAACCTCCATATAACGGACTTCTCTCTTCATATAACCTGACAGAGCCTCGATATAACAGACTTTTATTTTTATATAAGTTTGTTAGATGGAGGGTTTCGCATCTGACGGAGCTTCGATATAACGAACTTTCATCTCCATATAGTTCGTTAGATGGAGGTTTTCACATCTGACACAGCCTCGATACAACACTTTATTTCTACATACAGTACAGCAGTCCGTTAAATAGAGGTTTCAGTATATCGCCATTTCCCGCCCACAAGATACCACAAACAACTTTTTTATCCTGTCACTTATTAATTATAGCTATTTCTACATCCACATTCTGGTATCATATTTATCCTTTCCATTTTATGGTTTATTATATTTAATTATATTTATCATTTTCCATCACTATCTACAACTCAGATAAATTTTTTAATACCTGTAACCATAAAAAAGTAATTGTTTGTTATCTGGAACAGGCAATCATCAGTGAGTCTGGGCTGTCACTGCTCACACTGGTAAGATAAGGTTCACAGTTTCTAAATTCTTTATGGGACACTGATGAATTTTGATGCTTGTTTTTTTATCTTAATAGTAATTGTGAGATATTAATATTGTTATTGAATTACAGTCAACCCTCGTTAAAACGGACTAATAGGGGGGGAAGGGTGTCCGTTTTAGCCGATTGTCCGAATTAACCGATTTAGGGGTTAATATTGCATAATATTGCATTATATTTCAAAGAAGATGCAGTGAGTTTGTCCTTAGCCTTGCATATGTCCGAAACTGTTTGCTTTTTAACACCATACTTGTCACAAACTCTAGACACCGAAGCACCAGCCTCTAACTTCCTTATAAGTTCCAGTTTCTGGTTCACAGAAAGGGTCACATACTTCCTTTTCAGCGTATTACTCCCCCTTGATGACATGATGTAAAATACAAGGCTGAAAGATGCCTAATCACTGAAATATCAACGAAAATTGCAGGGCAGCACAACACTGATACTCGAATATGGCGCTAAGTCAACAATGACTGGCGGTCTGGCGCACCATCTATCGGACAATCCCAGAACCAGAAATTTGATACGGACAGTCCCTCGCTTAGTTCAGATTTCGTCCGAATTATCCGAAATCCGCATTAAAGGGGTCTGAATTAACGAGGGTCGACTGTACTTTACTGTACTAGTATTCACAGAACCTCTTCTCCCTCCTTCCCAGGCCATTATGACTACAGTATTCCTTTATCTTCTTTTAAAAATATTTTATATGAGATTCTTCATGCGACATCGTGTAATGCCAGAGTAAACATAATAGAACAGGACGTAGTCAGGTCAAGAGTTCTGCTTGTTATGATTTCCGCTAAACCTTTGGACTTGGCAGTACAATCAGACCTCCATATAACAGACTTCTCTCTCCATGTAAGGTTTCACATCTAACGGAGCCTCGATATACTGGACTTTAATCTCCATACAATAGTTCATTACATAGAGGTTTCACTGTACAGTACGTAGAGCATTTCAAAACTCAAAAGTAATCGTTCGGAAATCAAAATATCTAAATCATATACAGTATATATAAACGGGAGAGGTGAACTGACGACAACACTCCTCTGAACAAGACTGGCCATTAGGTTAAGCACAGTAAATATGAACAGACAGATGACTTTACTCATATGTGCCTCATTAAGTCACCATTCATTCATATCATTTGTACCGGAGTTGGAATTCCGTCAGATTTTCAAATGAACTCACATTTTTTTTGGGGGGGAGATGGGGTGTAAGAGAGCGATAGAGGCTGGTAAAACTCCTCTGTGTCTATGTATGTCACTTATTCATTTCCATAATCTGTACCAGGGTTCATGAAATATTGTTGGAAGCTTTTAGAGAAGTAAATTACAAGTTATTGATTGACCCCCCCCCCCACACATGTGCCTGCACACACACACACCCAAAGAAAAACATATTACCAACTACTGTAATTTTTCTTTGTTAGTTTGTTACATAAGTGAACCAACTACTGTACCCTTACTTAACAGAGAGAGATACAATGTTAACTTCCCTGAACACAGAAGCCAATAATAACACCCACACTGTCAAATATAATGTACCAATGCTTGAATTCTTAACACACAAAAAATAAACTATCAAATCTGACTTCAACGGGTTAAACAGATTTTGCCAATTTTTCAAAGAAAGAAGAAAATGTGTGGAAAGAATAAGGTTTATCTAAGGAAGGATTTACAAGTAGGAGAAGGAAGTGAGGAAGAAAGTACAGTTTGGTGTCACTACTGTAGTGTGTGGTCTGCAATACATTTAGGTTAAGTTAGGCCACATTATGTTAAGTTAGTGCTGAATAAAGATATAAGAAAGAACGGGAAATGTAAGGAATAGATAGAGGAAACTGTGGCAGACCAACTTAAGGCACTTGGGTGTAAAAGGAATGTAAGTAAAGCAGCCAAGCCAACACCACCAGAGAGATAAGAGGCACCCCAGAATGTCATCCACTGGTGGACTATAGCTACTGACCAACACCACACAAATACTACCATAATTCCTACAAGATAAACAAGAAAAATACCAAGACAAAGCCTCCAATTTATATCCAGCACTTATGCTACGCTAGTTCACTACCTCAAGAAGAAAATGGAAAAAAAAATAAACTAAATAACTTACTACCCATACAAAGACAATTATACCATGATATTACTTTGGAAAAAACCCAAATAATATTAATAAAGTAGCTATACTGTACTAGGGAACAAAAAATTTGCATAAGAAATTACTATTACTGATAGTTCTGTATCCTAAATAAAAAATTTTAGTTACTCAAGAGTCATTAGTACTAAATCAGCATTTTCACAGATATTTCATCCTGAATGATGCATGCTCAAAATGAAATGATAAACGAGAAACCCCTTTCAAACATACCGAGGGATATTACTGGTCGCTTCCTGTTCCATGGGAGGATGTTGGCGGCTGACATAGCTGTGGTCCATCATCAATGTTTACACACCTACACCTGTAAAAACAGGTCATTTTATGCTTGCTACTCAAACTATTTTTCACAGATTTTTCATCACATAGTATAACAGTTAAGGACTACACTAGTCACATGCGCCATCAGGGAAGCTAGTCTAGTACAGCAGGTTATGGTGTTTGTGTTGGACTAAAAAACTACAATAATTTTGTTCTTGTCCTTTAGTAAAGCAACAGTCCATCCCTGAGTAAATGGGGTTAACAGTTGCATAAAGCATCACAAAAGAACACAACAGTAAACTAGATAAAAAAAAAAAAAATAAATAAAAACTAACAAAAATAGGGTAAATAATCCCTCGCCAACCACAGTTTTGAGTAGCCAAGTTTTATAGGTTGTATTGTACACCATTTTACCAAACATGGTATCCAGCGTCCATCATATGCGATTACCAGGAAATATCTAGCCCAGCGCAGCGGGAAGGTTCGCTGGATCATGTAAATATATCAAGTGGTTGTTCGTCACCAGACTGTACATGTTCCTTAACCCCTTGTATGCAGGATTCTCTTTGTGCTGAATAAAAGTGTCTGGCATTAACCAAATAAAATCTCAAGAGTGGTGTCCCCGTAGTGAAGGGTTAAAGGTCAGTGTTATCGACTTTCTTCTTGGGTCTCTAAAATCAAATTGCTTATTTTCATCCTTCACAGTACAGTGTATGGCTCACTACTCTCCTAGCAGTCCTGAGTCATCACAACACACTCAGGGTTAGGGACCTGGGGTGGTAGCCACTCCCCTCATGGACCTGTTCACTAAGTACTGTACTGTACTATCAAAAACTTGTTATACTTTTATAGATAAAATCCACTAAATAACATGGAAATACAGTACTTTTATTTTTGCTAAATTAAAAGAAATCAATTATCTAGAATATATTAATATTAACATTTTCTAAAATGAATATTTTTTTAAAAATGTAAATGTTGCTCCCCATCCATTTTCAAATATCTTGGAGCAGCCTTATGCTGTACTGTATAGTCATGCCCTACATTGCCAACAGTACTAGTAACCTCAAGGAATTTCCCGGCCGGCAGCTACGCTACAAACACCACAACAGAAGGAGATTTAACAGAACTTGAATCTGGCAACCATGAATATTACCCAGGTGTCTGGTAGCCACAAACGTAAACCTAAGAGGCTATGAAATTTTTAAGGAAAATACATGTAGTGATGTAGAGGAATATGGAGAAGTTTTGCTCGACTAAATAAACAAGGAAGACGGCACAGGCCAAACTATTGACCACTGTTCAAGGAAACATAATGTGACAGTAGCTGCTAATGTATTATCTTTACCTTTTAAGACACCCATCCAACACAAAGAAACTTACCTGAGCATCATTAAAATTCGGTAAAACCTGAAATAAGTTATGTACAGTTTTCAAAAAATCTAATTCCCTTATTCTATGGTGTAAACTTATCTATATTTATATACTTTATCAGAATCTTTCGAGTTTTGCTTGTTTACTATGCAGTGAGACCCATTGTTGGTATCTAAGTCAGGGAAGTAATTTCACTACAGCACTACAATTTGTGTCACAATGATTTACTATTTTGTTTCACTGAAAACTCAAACTACAAGCCTAACGGATATGCTTAGGAGAAGAACTTGGGCCATCAAATAATTTTCAGGAAGCTGAAGTGTGTGACCACTGTGGACAACCATTTTATAAACACAAAGAGGGTACAGTACAGTATATTATGGAAATGTGTGTTTGTTATTACTGTACTGTACTCATCTGAAACTGCAATTTACTCCAAACAACCTTTTCTAAACCTCCTAACAGTAACATGTGGGCACTGTAACTACAAACACCTCCCACTCATGCACCCGACAAGAGACTACAGCTGGCTTACACGTCATATCAACCTCCCGGACTCAAACTGGACATCTGTTTCATACCCTGACCTCCCCCCACCAGTCACTGTCACTGATGGCCCCATCACACCACACAAAACATTCAGACATAATCCTACATATAATCAACATTCTTCCTCACTCAAACAGTGTTCAAAAAAACCACAAACACAAATATTATTAAGCATATATACTGTACACATCCTAACAGTGTTCAACCAACATCCTTGAACTCCTTTCACAAATACCATTCACCAAATATACTGTACACAGAGGTAGTTCCATGGGGTTGTGCCCATTTCATCACCACATTTTTTACCCATTTCGTCACCACTGTTTTTACCCGCTTCATCGCCGTGTTCATTCCCATCACCATTTCAAGGGCAATACATTCCAGAAAATTCTTACATAATTAATACATCAATATATACACAAAATTTCACTACATTTGCCAAAATAACAGTTGCTTGGGATAGAAAATAATCAAAACACCCAGTTTACAAAATTGTATTACGAAATTATGCTTCGGCATAACAATACATTGGATCATGCAAGCATCTCACCAAGAAAATTTTTTTAAGACGAAAATAAAAAAACTTTATTACTCATTCAAGCATCTCACTTAAACAATTTATTAACGACTAAACAAAAATAAAAACATTGTTAATACGCCTGCAATCATCTCACTTAAACAATAGGTGAAAGACTAAAATTTAAACAAAATAAAAACATTGTTATTACTCATGCAAGCTCGAAAGAAGACTGACAATTTTTTAGGAAATTAGAAGTGGTGATATTTTTTTCCACAGATTCATCCCACAGCTTCCAGATATGGACTTGTTTGTCATGATTTGATTTTCTTGTGCAAGATTTTAGCTTGTGCTCAGCAAATAGTTGTCATTGCAAATCAATGAAGAAGAAATCACCTTCATTTGTTCTGTATTTTGTTTATTTACCAATGTTTTAATCATTTTCTTTATTAACTAATTAAAATTCATGTCTAATAATAACACAATATTCTCGAGTCGTCTGTATACATGTGTTATTTTTATTCGTGTAAAATAATAACGTACAATTTATCACTCTAATACCAGCGACTAACAGTCTGTTAGTGGTGATGAAATGGGATTTTTGGGCGACGAACCGGGTTGGTGACAAAATGGGAAGTATCCGTTCCAGGGCATGGTACTATGTGGTAATAGTATACAGTATTGTAATTATTAACACTAACCTTAGACTAACAAGACAAAATGGTGAGAAAAAAATTCAAGTACCCGGTACTAAAGAGCTGTGACGACCTGAAATAAATCATACAAGATGTTGACAAATAATCCAACAAGTCTGTCTATTAGTCCAGTACAGTCAGTCCCTAAGTATGAGTAATTTACATGTAAGTATTCCAGACCACACCAGCGGCCAGCCTACAATTTACCCGGTAATCCTTCTCATACATCACTTCTCTACCCCATCCCTCATAGCTATACAGTATACCCCTCCTCCCAGCAGATGTCTCTCTCCAATTCCTGATACTGTAGCTGCCCTGTACTGTACATTTAGTAGTCTACCATCTAAAATAAGTCTCTCCTCTTTCCTAATCCATTTATTCTGATAAAATCTGATTATATGTGAGTTAGCTTGGTCACTTCATCACCCCAGCCACACTTCTGCCACTGATCACTCTTCAAGTGGCTATCCCTTGGCAAGCACCTCCGTTCACAACATTGAGAATAACAAGAGATTACTCGACTCTTGGCCATAGTTCTGAACTACTTTTGCTGTGTACTATACCCTCAACTAGCTAAGTGATGCCACCTAACAGTAGACAGTCTGCTAATGGTAGTGTCGCTGAGACCACATATAGTAACATAATATGAACTTAGAAAATATATAGTGATTTTGAACAAAGAACGTGATGTGACTCCTGCAAGCCTCAGTCACTATTACAGCCTAAGTGAACCAACCATACACATTATTTGTGCTAGTACAAAATCTTCCTTGTATTGAAAAGATGCAGAAGTTATTAAGAGAGTGGCTCTATGAAAAAAACAAAACAATTAATGTCCTGTTTTGGATGGAGTTGCCATATGGAAAAAATACATAGCTTTACCAGTGGTGTCAAACTCAAAACCCTTTGAGGGTCAATTCTCATTTTAGTTACCCTCTTCAGGGCCAACACAAGTGCTACATCACATATTTGCAGGATTGAAGTTTACAGCTTCACGCATTGCCTTACCTGGCTCGGCGAAGCCTAGCGCAAGGCGGTGGTTAGCGGGTTTGATGTGACCGTCGTGTGTACAAAGTTCCCTACAGATATTATATCTTCTTTTCATTTCAAAGGATTGACTGCACATCAATTCTACATAGAGTTAGTCATAGCTATAGATAATTGAGTGATTAAAAACAAAGTACACGATGTACACCATTTCTCCTCGTCTGTTTAGCATAGTGTTGCAACGTTTGGCTGCTGCCTTTGTTAAGATGTCAGTAATGGCTACGGCTTTGTTTTTTAATTCTTTAGTGATTTCAATTTATAACATTTTCCCTTTACAATACTGTTATTACTAGCATTAACAATATAAATTCAATTATTACCACAATGATGTAAAAATCATCACGGAATTTACTGACTCATTCATAACTGCAATCTTTCCTTCATATCTATTTCTATCACAATTTCACTGGCTGATAAATTTTATCATCCCCGCGGGCCATACCTGACCATCTCAAGGGCTTATACGAACACAAAATCACCACCTCTGACGGTTCATTTCTCATTGGTAATTGTGACCTGCACAATGTTTGTTTTTCAGTACTGTTCAGTATCTACATAATGTACATGTACAGTAGCTAAAATAACCATCTTTGCATACTTTGTGGGAAATAATATGAGACCATGGAAGATAAAATTTGGGATATGAGGGCTGTACACATAAAATTTTGGAGCATATCGACCCCCACCTGCACAGATAGTTGTTTTAGCTACTGTACATATGAATAATTGCTGATTTATTTAATATGTAACTACAGTATACATATGTAGTACAATACTTATTGACACTTGAGGTTAGGTTAGGACCTTTTTTTTTTGCTTCCCTTAATCATATTATTCCCATAAAACATAAGTTAACTCAACACAATATTATTGAACGAGACCCCTACCGTACATAATATAGAATAGGATGCCACATTAAGAAGTAGCCTGATGAAAGCCACTGACCAGAAATGACTGATCCTAGGTTATGCTTCCTCCTCCCAGTGGGTGGTATGGATGTGAATAGTTTTGATGTTTAAAACCCCATTATGGCTGATCCACACAAAGGGCGAGTTAGTTACATAACATCAGATGCTGTGGCACTCAAGACTATCCCATTTTAATCTTTAACCCTTTGAGGATGGACGTATTCAAGGGGTCAAGATACCAAATTCAAGGGGGTCAGACATTGTACAAAAGGTGTTAAGACATTGTACTCATGGGGTCATGATATCATATTCAAGGGGTTAAGACATCATACTCCAGGGGTTAAGACATCATACTCCAGGGGTTAAGACATAATCAAGGGGTTATGATATACTCAAGGGGTTAAGATATACTCAAGGGGTTATGATATCATACTCAAGGGATTAAGACATCATAATCAAGGGGTTATGATATACTCAAGGGGTTATGATATCATACTCAAGGGGTTAAGATATCATACTCAAGGGGTTAAGACATAATCAAGGGGTTATATCATACTCAAGGGGTTATATCATACTCAAGGGGTTAAGATATCATACTCAAGGGGTTAAGACATAATCAAGGGGTTATGATATACTCAAGGGGTTATGATATCATACTCAAGGGGTTAAGATATCATACTCAAGGGATTAAGACATAATCAAGGGGTTATATCATACTCAAGGGGTTAAGATATCATACTCAAGGGGTTAATATATCATACTCAAGGGGTTAAAATATCGTACTCAAGGGGTTAAGACATTGTACTAAGGGGTTAATTGGTAGGTAAGGATTCCCTAATGTAACTCCAAAGTCACCTTCCATACATAGAAATATCTGAACACAATTAATGTAATACTTCAACTTGTTACGTTTGTTTCCCTTTTTCAGAAATATTAATGTTTAGGAGACTTTTTGGTGCATTATACAGAATATCTGATCTTCTAAAGTTGAAGAATTTTAGTTACAATATTTTTATGGGAGTGTTGGAGTGGTTGAGTACTGTACTGGTCTGCTTACTCAGTTACCCTCAAGTTGCTGTCTGACTCAATTGATAAATAACAATATATTTTCCGTCAAATTTTCACTTTAACACACTTCTTTCAATTCATTAAATGTGAATCTGTCGTGGAAGCCAAGAAAGAACAATTATGAATTTATTTATGGTGACTGACCAAAAGTAACAGCTACTTGTGTGTTTTCTTCAGTGTTTGTGCAGTTGAGAACACGAACTGTACTGTATATTTAATGTAAGCGTTTGTACAGCCGGGAACAGTACCCATAAAAAAATTGAGAATTAAGGAAAAATTGCCTTAACAAACCTTCCTCCCCCACATGTTTTTAAAAGCAGGATTTTATACACAGTATTTGGTTAGGTTAGGTTGCAAGCTCTCACATCAAATAACTCAGGGTAACTGGTGACGCATGATCTGCTCGTCTCATTTTTCCCAGCCCACTGACCAATGCCGAGCTTGATTCACATCACTCATTCATTTATTACCGCTAAAATCACATTTCTGAAATAAATTTTTTTCCATTAACAAATCACAACTAATATGCCACTTTTTGAGTACCTTCAACATTGCCTTTTTTTTTTATTACAAACTGTAGTTAGATTTCATACATTGAAATTGATGTTTTAGGAAAATTTCAGATATAACCCACCAAAAAGACTGCAGTTAATGTTTATATACAGTATATAAAGATAATTATAATTACATCTCCAAATATATGTTTGAACAGATCATGAGTACATACTGGGGACATAAACATTACTAAGTCCTAACCTGGTGATGCCAATACAAATCCCAGTGTCATCATAGTGTACCAGACTGAGCTGTGTTGTACTGTCCTCCCACCATGCTCCTTGTCTCTACAATAAACCTCACACATTCTTTACTACCAACATCACTAGTTATTACTACCCTTCTAAAATTCAACTCAGTATATTTATTTCACGTTGATTAATGTTCAGCAGGAAATAACAGTGCCCTAGAGAGTGAATTAAGCAGTGAACAACAAGTGGTCAGGGCCCCCTCACCCAGCACGTCACAGGGCCTAGGATCGCCATCTTGCTTAGCCCCCAGTCCTGGTCAGGCGTCGTCGCCGGTCTGTAACTATCCACCTGACGAGCTGTACACTACTTTCCGGACTTTATCACCACTACCAACACCACCACTAGATATTCACAAAGTCACTGACAATCCTTTAAACGCATACATTAGTGTACACAATCATACACAGTATAAGAACTAGCGTGTGTACACTAACTCTGTAAACACGCGCGCGACCACGTGAGCTCTACCAGACGTACGAGTCATACTAATATTCTCTAAATCACCCATAATGTGACTCATACGATGAACAAAACTCGTAGTTATTACTTACGAGTACTTAATTTGTTTTTCTCTCCATTGTTATATATTTTTATGCGCTAGTATCCAGATTATCGTCTGATAATCTTCGAGTAGAGCGTATCGTACTCCAAAGATTACTTTTTAAAAATTTCTACGCATTAAGCACTGATAATAAGATCATTCACACCACAGATATACATTTTACAGTTCCGACTGAATAAAAATAAAGCACATTTAAATATTACCACATTAATTTTCATTTTACGAAACGCTCTCCGCTTTTAGGGTGGGTGTTCCCTACTTCACTCACCCAATATTATTTTCATTAATTATATATTTATTATGTAATACATAGTCGGAATATTTTCCTTGAAAAACAGTTTTATCGACTCAGCGATTTAACCTATTTACTTTCCCAAAATCATTTTCTCAACCTTAGCTTCCCTATTATCTGGCATGTGGCTGCATTGTGGCAGTGAAGCAGCCACACTGTAGCTGGCGGACGGTTCTATCAGCATCACCTGCTGGGAGAAGTGATTACGCTATATATACATATCTGACCAAAATCCTTTAATGACACGCTGTCAAACCAAATGTTGACACAAATTGAATGATTAAACTGTCTCTTAATTTTCAAATAACAATTATGTTTTCCAATCAGCGGGATTTTTCGGTTAAAACTATTGAATCTTTATAAGAAGGAGTGAAAAAAAACCCTCAATAAAGTTGTTATTACAATCGGAATCATAACACTTTGTTAAGAGTACGTGGGGGCAAACTGAAAATAACTCTAAATAGTTATCATCTAAACTGGAGTCATGCAAGCAATGTTAATCTCTACCTCACTTTTAGGAATTGTATACCATTTTTTTATATAAACAGACGACCTAATCGAACTTTTTGCAATGAGTAGTAGGATATATATTGTAAGGTCAGCATTATGTTCTTTATTCCATTGGCTTGTCATTCAAACGCTCAGCCAGTCATAGATAAACGCTCAGTAAGTCAGAGGCAAACGCTCAGTAAGTCACAGGCAAATGCTCAGCCAGTCATACACAAACTCTCAGCCAGTCATACTTTTACTTTTATCCTCTTCACCACTGATCAACTCGTTAGCCGCTTGGGCGATCGGTCACGTCTCTGTTACGAACTGTTGGCAAGTATTGGGCATGCACCGGCTACTGAAAGTACCTGAAACTGCTTTAGTGCTGGTTAAGTCTGGTAGATTGTTCCAAGAGTTGACAACTCAAACTCCGAAAACGTTTGCCCTCACAGTTTTTCGGACCCGCGGCTTCTTCAATCTTGAGCTGTGACCCCTTGTGGGGCCGAGCGTTCGCCAGCTCTAAGTAAGGACACTCGACTGAGTAGTGCCCCTTGAGATGCTTACCCCTGTATACACCTCAATGAGGTCGCCCCTTGCCCGTCTGTAGTATAAGCTAGGCAAGTTCAGGCGCTCCAATCTCTCAGGGTAGCTGAGGTGCCGAAGTGCAGGCACCAGTCTGGTGGCCCTCCTTTGAACATTTTCAACCAACTGACAGTCCCTAGCATATCTCGGGGACCAGACGGGGTGAGGGTACACCAGATGGGGAAGCACTTCACTCTTGAAGATCGTTACGAGGGACGGACCGTCTAGATATCTGAACGACCTTCTTTTAGACCCAATAATTTATTTGCCCGATTTACCTTCTTCTCGCAATGGCCCGAGAACTTAAGTTCATTGTCAACAAACACACCTAGGTCCTTCTCACATTCAGTCTCAACTATTGCAGTTTCTTCATCCCGTTGGGACATATTGTAGGGGTATCGAGATATTAATGTTGTCTAGCACTCAGGATGGAAGGAAACTCTAATGTGGTTTTCTTGTATAATATAAGTTATATTATAGACAGTCTGGTGCTGGAGGTGTTGCTTGTTCAGGAAGATGGGCAGAATGAGAGTTGGTTGGTGAGGAAGCTCAGAGAAGGACAGCTGGTGGGTCGCCATGCTCGCTGGCGGGAGCGAGGACCGCCAGGCAGGCGAGGAGATGCGAGGGCTGCCAGGCAGCGGCGGAGGAGGAGGTGTTGCTTGTTCAAGAAGAATGGTCAGAATGAATCTCAATGGAGAGACAGAGCTTATATACCCCGCAGCAGCCGCTATGAGTCATGTTGGGAAAACCCGAGAAGTCGCCGGTGAATAGTTTCGTTGCTAAGATACGGTAACATCTGGTTGGTTGCTAGGGAAGGCGGCACATTGGAATGCGATACGCAGTTTGTAGGGGAGACGTCCACTACAATATGATACGCCTCCTTACCGTTGGTACGCCCCAGGTGCATCCTCTTACACTTCTTGACATTGAAGCTCAGCAGCCATTTCTTCGACCATTCTTGGAGCTCACAGAGGTCCTTCTACAGCTCTTCATAGTCCGCATGGTTCTTGATTTCCCGAAATAACTTGGCGTCATTGGCAAACATTTGTATGGAGGAGTGTACAACGTCAGGCATGTCATTTATGAACAAATAAACAACAGCGGGCCCAATACACTTCCCTGTGGTACTCCGCTTGTGACAGGTACAGATGATGATTTCGTGCCATAAATCACCACACACTGCTTGCGGTCATGTAGAAAGTTTTCTATCCACGCTAGGACATTTCCCCGAATTCCGTACCCTTCCAGTTTGATTTTCAGCCTTTCGTGGGGAACACTGTCGAAAGCCTTGTCAAAATCTAGATATATATTGTCTATAATACCACCCCGTTCCAGAATATGGATCCAAATATCCAATACCTTGAGCAATTGTGTTAAGCAGGAGCGCCCCGACATAAAACCATGTTGGCAATCCTTTACAAGGTTGTTTCGTAGTAGATGTTCCATCGCGGCATCTCCGATAATGCTCTCAAGTACTTTACATATTATGCTGGTCAGGCTCACCGAGCTATAGTTGTTCGTGGAGTGATGATCGCCCTTCTTGAAGATAGGACTCACATAAGCCACTTTCCAATCACTGGGGACCTTTTGTTCATCCAGGCATTTACAAAACAGGATCTTCAGGGGCTCAGCAAGCTCGTTGCACAACTTTCTTAGCACTCTGAGATGCACCATGTCAGGGCCGGGACTCTTATGGACATTTAGCTTTGACAGTTTATTTCTAATACCCTCTTCTGTGAACACAATGTGGGTCAGTGCTGTGTCGAACTGTCTGTCCTCAGACGTAGGAAGGTTTATCGCATCCTCTCTTGTGTAATGATTGTTTATCAGACCATAGCTTATAGCCCAGAGAAGAACAGCTTATATAACAGTAAGTAGATGCCCACGTGGTAACCCATGTAGGTTGACACACCCTACAGTGGGAGTAAGACCTGACGCAGGAGAGCTGATGGCCAAAGTACTTGAGTTAACCCTGTGATATGACCGTGTTACTCAAGAAACCACACCTGGGCAAACATAGCTGTCCAGACCTGACCTAGGAGAGGTCAGTCACATTGACCCAGAGTTCTCACTGCCACGCTATTAGCTAAACCCTGCGACATGACCACCGTGTGACTCAAGAAGCAATCCCTCAAGCCAGTACACCTGACAAGATCCACCCGGGTGGTCATAATTAGGGAGCATTACCGAACGGCAACATGACCACGCACCTGGACAAACACAGCCGTCCAGATCTAACCAGTTTAGTGTTAATTGGGAGAGGTCGTCTGCCGGCTCTCCTTCAACGTAAAGGCTCTGCAGCTCATTATACAGGCATTACTTTCACATTCAGGGTCAGTCAGCATTCGGAGCATCATTGTAATAGGGAGGGAGCCGACAGCTCCTCCCCAGAGGGAGACTTCCCTCCCATGCACCGCGTCTCCAGCTAGCAGGGTCTTCCACAGGAGACATAGTCCAGCACTCCCTTCAACAGCACCTGCTGACCTCCCTCAGGTCACACATGAGTCATTGTCAGAGCTATCCATAGGGTGAGTTACTTACGGTGGGAAGTGTATCCTTTTCATGTTTGTGTCCGAGAGTCAGTGTTTAGTAACGTAAATATATTGTTCTAGTAACTTCGATATAATGTTCTATTAATGTGTCTGTGTCATTGAGTGAATAATAAATAGCTGTGTATCAGCACCATTTGTATTATATAAACATTTACCCAAATGTATAATGCCAAATTATTCACCAAGTTATTCAACTGTGCCTCAGCTTTTGACGTTATGCATGGCTTAGGTTGTAGTTCTTTCGGGGAGCGAGCGAGGGCAGGCTGAGGTCAGCGCGTGTTAGCACAACAGGATATCTGGCGTGATTCCTTTTTCACAATCTCGAGGCCTGCTTCTCCATCTCTCTCTTGGTCAGAGAGATCAGACTCATATTTTTGTTACCCAGATAACACCTCACTTAGGTGTTCTCCTGTGTATATATACTAAGACATTTCCCCTAGTCGAGAAGGTATTAATATACTCTCAACTGAACTAAGGACCTGTGGAACTATATTTTCTTCAATTAAGAAAAACTAACAAAGTGTTTACTTGAGCCCTGCCACATTCCAGAACTTCAGAACTAATATATATATATATATATATATATATATATATATATATATATATATATATATATATATATATATATATATATATATATATATATATATATATATATATATATATATATATATATATATATATATATAGTGTGACCAACACAGCTGTACTTAGAATTGGTGTTTAGAAAGATTTTCCCTAAGAACGTATTTACAGTTAAATAACTAACCTGCTGCACTGCTAAACTTCACCACTTTACATCCTACTACAATAAATATTCTATCAATACTTTCTACCTAAATCCCCCCATTACATTTGTGAACACCAAGGAAAAGAAGCTGTTCAATGCCTCAGCTTTATCCTGGTCAGAATCTGCGTAACTACCATCTTCAAGTCTCAGGTCTGATACTCCTACTCGCATTTTCAATTTCGACTTT